TGACTGCTCTGTGTATTTCTAACATTTTCTATTTTTACTTCTGTAATATATCTCTCATACTAATTAAATATTTAGTCCATATTAGTCCAGATTAGTCCAGAACTAATTTGATTTGAGAGAATTTTAAAATCTCAAAATTGAGAAAGGGTGACAACCCTAATAATTGTATTAACCATGTTTTTCAGGATCTATGGAAGGTAGGAGTTGTGCCCAAGTAATTTTAAAATTACATTTTGAGTTGTGACTGAAAGCCTTGTGTGAATAAAAGTGTATCCCATTCACCAAGCAATATTCCATTTTGGAAGCTGATGAGCATGCTGGTACCTTGGAGGAAAGCAGTCAGAGCCAAGCTTCTGGCACCATAAGCAACTTGGCTGTAGGGGGTGGGAAGGAAAAAGAAAGGAAGAGCATAGTGATTGGAGATTCTTTAGTCAGGGGAGCAGATAGGCATTTTTGTGGCTGAAGATGTGACTCCATGATGGTGTGTTGCCTCACCAGTGCCAGGGTCAGGGATGTCACTGAACAGCCGCAGGGCATCCTGAAAGGGGAGTGTGATGAGTTAGAAGCCGTGGTACATGGTGGTACCAATGATATGGCAATGTGAGTAATGAGATATTGCATCAAGAATTCAGGGACCTAGACAATATATTAAAAAGCAGGACCTTAATGGTTGTAATCTCTGGATTACTGTGAGGAACTTGCACAGTTTGATATAGGAAATGGGGAGGTATTGGAGGCTGTTTCGGTCTTAAAAACAGACAAATTTCATAGAATCCCTACAGTGTGGAAACAGGCCCTTCGGCCCAAAAAGTCCACACCGACCCTCAGCATCCTACCCATCCCCCTATGACCCACCTAATCTACACATCCCTGAACACGACGGGCAATTTAGCATGGCCAATCCACCTAGCCTGCACATCTTTGGACTGTGGGAGGAAACCAGAGCACCCAGAGGAAACCCACGCAGACACTGGGAGAACGTGCAAACTCCACACAGACAGTCGCCTAAGGGTGGAATCGAATCTGGGTCCCTCGCACTGTGAGACAACCGTGCTAACCACTGAGCCACTGTGTTGCCCCAGATTCCCTGGCCCGGATGAATTGCATCCCAGGCTGCTGTGGGAGGTGAGGCAGGAAATTATAGGGGCTCTGACACAAACTTTTAATACCTCTCTGGCCAGAGGGGAAGTGCCAGAGGACTGGAGGATGGCTCATGTGGTTCGACTTTTTCAAAAAAAAAAAAGGTGGTAAAGAAGAACCAGGAAATTACAACCTGGTGAGTCTCACTTCAGTGGTTGGTAAATCATTGGAGAAAATTTGGAAGGAATGAATTAATACCCACTTGGACAGGCATAGGTTAATTAGGGATAGTCAGCATGGCTTTGTCAGAAGGAGGTCATGCCTAACAAATTTGTTAGAATTTTTTGAAAATCTGATCAAGTGTCTGGCTGAGGGAAATTCAGTTGATGCAGTTCATATGTATTTTAGCAAAGCTTTTCACCAGGTCCCACTTGGGAGACTAACTGAGAAGGTTAAAGCATATTGAATTAAGGGAAACTTGGTGAGCTGAATCAGAAACTGGCTTACTTACAGGACACCAAGGGTAGTGGTAGAAGGCTGTTTGAGTGGCTGGAGGCTGGTGTCCAGCAGTACACCACAAGGATTACTTCTGCGACCCTTTTTGTTCATTATATTCATAAATGATTTTGATGTGGGAGGAATGTTAAGCAAATTTACAGAGTGGTTAATAGCGAAGAAGATTGTTGTAGGTTACATGAAGATAAAAATGGGTTGGTCAGACAGGCAGACAAGTCTGTCTTCTGGTAAGATGGCGATGGAGTAGGGCTTCTGAGCCTGGGGCTCATCTGCTTTTCTTTTTGTTTTGTTTCTTTTTTCTCTCTCTTCTCTCTCTTCTTTTTATCCTATTTTATTTTACTTGCGTTTTGATGAAATGCTTGGTTGTACCGATGACATTGGCAGCAGCGAGTGGCCCCAGCAGTGTGGACTTGTGGCGGTGGTGCCAGAGGCGAATTTGGGTTCCAGGTAGCTTCGGCATCGTAGAGGCAGTCCTAGCATCGACTCATGGCTGCTGCTGTGGTGACAAGTTTGTGTTGCCAGTGGCATCTGCTTCCAGCACAGATTCACAGAGACAGCAGCGAAGTCGACTTTGGGTTGGTGTGGTACACAGCAGCATCGATGGCGTCTGCATTGGCGAGGTCCAGTGAGGACTGAGAGTGGTGAGGATGGGGGTGAAGACGAGGTGACACTGAAGAGTGGCAACTTTTGTTACAGTGGCAGCGACACAGTGAAAGAACTCGTGCCTGGCCACCAGGCCCATGTTGGAGCACTTAACTAGAAGCACTGTAAACTTTCTTTGTTTCTTCATTTTTCTGCTTTTATATTCTATGTTTTGATTTATTTTTCTGTATTTTAAGATGGCGTTGGAGAGTGGCAACACTATACAACACTTTTCACTTTATTTTGTAACAATATACACATGACAATAAATATCACAGAATCATAGAATCCCTATAGTGTGGAAACAGGCCCTTCGGCCCAACAAGTCCACAAAGAGCATCCCACCCAGACCTATCCCCCTAATCCACACATCCCTGAACACTACGGGCAATTTAGCATGGCCAATCCACCTAACCTGCACCTCTTTGGACTGTGGGAGGAAACCGGAGCACCTGTAGGAAATATGTAAATCAATCAAATAAATCAAATCAGTGGAAGATGGTATTTAACCCTGATAGGTGTGAGGTGATGCACTTTTGAAGAAGAAACCAGATAAAGGAATATTTAACGAATGGCAGAACACTGGGTGGTTTAGAGAAACAGAGGAATCTTGGGGTAATTATTCACTGATCCCTGAGTTTGGCAGAACAGGTCAATAGGATTGTTAAGGCATTATAGGCTATTTGCTTTCATTAGTCATGGCATTGAGTATGAGAGCAAGGAGGTAATGTTAGACTTGTACAAAGCATTGGTCAGGCCACTACAGGACTATTGTGTGCCGTTCTGGTCACCTTGCTACAGGAAGGATGTGATATCTCGAGAGTCGGTACAGAGGAGGTTCACCAGGATGTTTCCTGGGATGGAGAAATTGAGCTGTGAGGAGAGACTAGATAGACTGGGATTGTTTCCTTTAGAGCAGAGAAGACTGTGGGGGAAATGCTTGAGGTGTATAAGATTATGAGGGGAATGTTCAGGGTGAATAGAGATAGCTGTTCCCCTTGCTGAGGGATCAATCATGAGTGTGTGCAGTTTTAGGGTAAAGGCCAGGAGATTTGGGAAAAACATTTTCACTTAGGTAGTGGAAATCCAGAATGTACTGCCTGGGAAGGCTGGAAACCGTACAACCTTTTAAACAATATTTGGATGGATACTTCAAATATCATAACATTTCAAGGATATGGGACAAGTACAGGAAATTGGGATTACCGCACTTGTTAGTGGTAGTTATCTCACTGCAGACTCAATGAGCCGAAGGGCCTTTTCTGTGCTATGTGAATCTAGGAAAATCTGTCATTATTAGATGAAGAGTAATTTGTTTTGTTACTGCAGTATTCCAGAAATGTATGGTATCACTCATTTGAAGTCCTTAATAGACTTTTCAGGTTTCAATAATATTTAACTGTGACTCTAATAAACAATCTGATTACATTAATTGATTGTAATTTTAATTATTTGAATTTTTAAATTTCTTTGTGGGTCTCATGCTAATATAATTCAATTTTTCTGTTTATCTAAGTCTACCAATATCTTATGTGTTTTAAATTTCACTTCTTATTGAGGTGCTATGGATTATGTATGCATAGGCACATTACTTCAGCTTCAATAGAAGGAAAAAAAAAGAAAGTGGCGCAATACGTTTTGGCATGTTGGAAGTGGGCTTGTAACCAGACTCCCCATTTCCCTTGATTCACTATGGGCAGGTGCTACTCATGGACACCAAATTAGGGGCTGGCAATTTCAAAGATCATTGATTTTTAGAACTTGCTTTGCTGAATACAGAGTGTCAGATTCAATATTTAGTCTTATGGAATAAGTAGTACTGCCTCAAGAAACATTGCTGGAGACCACTTTGTGTTAATTTGAAAATGGGTGGTGTCTTAATGGTAATTTCAATGGATTAGTAGCCAGAACCCTAGCTAATGTTCAAGGGAAATGGGTTTGAATCCAACCATGGCAGATGGTGGAATTTGAATTCTATAAAAAATGCCTGGAATTAAAAACTAGCCTAATGGTCAGCATATAACTACTGCTGATTGTTATAAAAACCCATCTGGGGTTCACTAATGTCTCTTAGGGAAGAAAATTTGCCATCCTTACCTAGATTAGCCTATATGTGATTCCTTACACACAACAATGTGGTTGACCCTTAATTGCCCTCTGAGCAATTAGGGATGTGCAATAAATGCTGGCCTACCTAGAGTTGCCCACATTCCATGAACCAATGTAGTAGAAGCAATGTCTAACGATTCCTCAAATGTGAGATCTATTGTATAATTTGCTACTGCCTCTAGCAGCCTCATCAGATTCATACAAAGCTAGTAGACAGCATAAAGGAAAAATAGTTGTGCTGTGGTAGTACAACTGTCTCTGGTCCAGATGGCCTGAGTTCAATTCCCACTGCTCCAGAGGTGTGTCACAACATGTCTGAACAGGTTGATTAAAATGTCTATATCATGGTCAGAGTATTTTGAAAAATGTGCAGTAAGATTGTCTTTAAACATGCTGAAGTAATTTTTAATATATCATTTTGAATAGTGTCTATCCTAGTGTGTTAAGTAAATCTTATTCTTATTTTTCAAGAAGACACTAATTTAATATGCTAACGTCATGTACAAATAGAGAGTACGCAACCATACACACGCCTAGCAACAAGCCAATTAACCTTCAGATGGAAATGAGAAATCTATGGTAAATTACAGGTTAATTAGACTGCTGTCCTCAGCCCATGAATGACTGATAAAAACTCCTTTATCTGCCTGCAGGTAAATACACGGGCAGGGTCCTCTAATAATAGCTGCCCAGCAGTCACAGAAGGCCTGCCGAACAATAGGTAAGAGTCAAGAGCAGAATCAAAAACGGCTTATGAGATATATTTGCTGCATGATAACTAATAGTGCTAGATTCAGAATTGTTAAACTATATAATTTTAGAGGTGTTTCTGTGGGAATTCTTGACAAAAATGAGAAACCATAATTATAAAAAGCAAATGATGTTGGACTTAATATTTATCATTTCCTTCTGTTATCCCAACTGTTATACATTAAAATATCTAAAATTCAGTATTTTATTTTCTAAATTACAGTACTGGTGCTGAGGTACTTTTTTTATAATTTAGATGAATTTCAGTCTTGTAGAAATGCTAGTTATTAAATGCTGTGTTCAAGTTTGATAATGTTTTCTTTACCTGATTTTACTTTCTCTACCAGTCCTTGTTACAAGAGTATAGCTTCATGGTGATGTATTGTCCTCGCACATCTTGTCCCCATTGGCATTCTTCATATAGAAACCTTGAAGGTGGTTGTTAATAGGCTAGTCAGTTGTAGACAATCTCACTGGTGATCTTGTCCTCTTCACATCTGGCAGGCACACATACCAGCAGGGGTCATGGGAGAGCACTCAGAAGGCGGAATCCCAGCTAATGTATATACTTTTTTAAAAAAAGCTGCTGAGGCCAATTATAATATTATTCTTGCTCACACCCATACTGAGATCCTCTAGTTCAACACATGGAAGCTGCCGTTATGACTAGGTTTTGCACTGGATTGTGGCCTTACCGACTGAGTCTGGAGCTAGCTGCTTTTAAAAAATCATTATTAGTTTTTAGGATGCTGAAGAAGGGAGAATTAAAAAAAAACTTTGCCTTTTTTCTGACTAGATGTCCTAATTTCTGGCTTAATTGCAAACAACAATCAGGGTCTTTTGATGCAAAATAATTAATTACACAAGAAGTTGCCTTAATGACAATGTTTTATATTTTTTCCTTGAGTTCTGTAGAATGCATTTTCCTTGTTGCTATGTTAATTAGTTTAGATTGCATCTGTATATAGCCATATGCATTTTTAACCACTGCCTGCCTTTTCTGCATCAGGTTGAAGAAATCTTCTGCTGAACTTAAGAAAATACTGGCAAATGGTCAGGTAAGGTGAAGGAAGCTGCAAGCAAGTAGAATTCCAATATGCTTAATTGATATGTAATTTACTTAACAAAATAACAAATCAGTTCACACTGTGGACACCATATGAATCTACATGTCTCTTGGCATTAAAATAAATACCTTGATTTTAAAATAAAATCAATTTAAGAAACTATTTTCATATTTGTGTTCTGTCCATCGGCTGCTGAAATCCTTATCCAAATTAGGAGCAGAAGTAGGTCATTTGGCCCTTCAAGAATAATCCGTCATTGAATAAGATCATGGCAAATCTGTTTGTATTCCAAAATACACATACCCATCTACCTCTGATAACCTCTGACTCCTTTGCTGAACGAGAGTCTTACCATTTCCACCTTCAAAGTATTCAGTGATCCCACCTCTGCCATCTTCTGAGGCAGAATTCAAAGTTGCACAACCCTCAGTGAAAGAATTTCCCTTCATCTCCATCCTAAAAGGGCGATCCCTAATTTTTTGACAGTGTCTCCTAGTTTTAGACTCTCCCACAAAAGGAACCATCATTTCCTCATCCATCTTCCTAATCAAATCATTCTTTGCTCTTCTAAACTCCAGCGAAAATAAGTACAGCCTGTCCAATCTTTCCTCCAAGTCAACTGTCTCATTCCAGATATCATCTAGTAAACTACCTCTGAACCACTTCCAATGCATTTATATCCTTCCTTAAATAAAGAGACCAAAACTGCATAAATATTCAAGATATGGTCTCACAAATGTCTTGTATAATCAGAACATAACGTCCTTACTTGTATGTTGAATTACTTCCGTAATAAAGGAGAGTATTCTACTAGCCGCTTTAATCACTTGCTATATCTGCATGCTAACTTTTTGCGACAGCACACGAGCACCTAGATCCCTCTTCACCGTTGAGGTCTGTAGTCAATATCTATTTAAATGATACTTTGCTTTTTTTATTCCTTCTGCCAATCACACTTTCCCATATTATATCCTGTTTCCTTGTCTTTGCCCTCTCAATTGACTTGTCTATATCAACTGCATGCTTGTTATATCATTTTCACTACATACGTTCCTATGTATCTCTGTGTCAATCTGCAAATTTAGCTACCATACCTTGAATCCATGTTATTAATGTAAATACTCTACAATTGAGGGCACAACACAGACCCTTTCCTGATCAACTTGCCACATCATGCCAACCTGAAAAAGACCCATTTGTACATACTGTCAGTTTTCTGCCAGCAGCCAGTCTTCTATCCATGTTATTGCTTACACCATGAGTCCCTACCTTGTGCAATAATCTTTTATTTGGAACCTTGTCAAATGCCTCTGAAAACCAAGTACAGTATCCACAATGTATTTTGCTCCTTCAAAGAATTCCAGTAAATTGGTTATACATGATTTTCCTTTCGCAGCATCATGCTGATTCTTCCTGATTGTCCTAAGTTTACCAAGAGCCCAGTTATAACCTCATTAATGATTAATTCTGGCACCTTCCCCACAACAAATATCAAGCTAGCTGGCCTAAAGATCCTTGTTTCATGCCTTCCTTCCTTCTTGAAGAGGGGGCTTATATTTGCTACTTTCTATGCTGATGGAACCTATCCAGAATCCTAGCAAATTCTAGACAACTAACATCAGTGCATCTACTATCTCATTATCCATTTCTTTTAACACCCTCAGATGAAGTTCCTCAGGAACCGAAGACATCAACCTGCAGCTCCATCAGTTTGCTCAGTACCACTCACTTGTGATTATAATTTTACCAAGTTCCTTTCTTCTAACTTCCTGATTTACAGGTGTTACTGGGATTTTTAAAATATCCTCATTAGTGAAGGCAGAAACAGAATGTTTGTTACATCTGCCATTTCTTTATATACTATTTACTCCCTATTCTCACCCACTAGAGGACCAACACTCACTTTACTTACTCTTTCCTGTATTCGACACATGTAGAAAAAATTGCTATCCCTCTTCACATTTCTAGCTAGCTTCTCATATTTTAATTTATTTGCCCTGTTATTCCTGTTAATCATTCTCTGCTGTTCTTTGTATTCTGACCAGTCTTCTGGCATGCTACTCATCTTTGCGCAAGTATATGCTCTTTCCTTAAGTTTGATACTTTTCCTTAACTTTTGTAAACCAGAAGTGTTGTTATAGTGTTGTTGAACGTGTTTTTATAGTAGAATTTTAGAATCCCTACAGTGTGAAAGCAGGCCATTCAGACCATCGAGTCCACACTGACCCCTCTGAAGAGCATCCCACCCTGACCAACGCCCTACTTTGTCCCTGTAACCCTACATTTCCCATGGCTAATCCACCTAGCGTACACATTCCTGGACACTGTGGGCAATTTTAGCATGGCCAATCCACCTAACCTGCACATCTTTGGACTGTAGGAAGAAACTGGAGCACCCGGAGGAAACCCATGTAGACATGGGGAAGATGTGCAAATTCCACAGTCAATCGCCCAAGGAATTAAACCTCGGTCCCTGGCACTGTGAGGCAGCAGTGCTAACCACTGAATCACGATGACGCCTGAGGAATATACTTATTCTGAATTTTCTGAAATATCCCTTTAAATGTCTGCCATTGCTTTTCATTGATCTATCTTCTTGCCTAATATTCTCAGTTCACTTCTCTGAACTCAGCTTTCATGCCCACGCAATTGACCTTATTTAAGTTTAAATACTAGTCTTCGACCCACTCTTCTTCCTTTAAAACTAGATGTAAAATTCAATACGAGAGGTACCCAAATTGGGAGATCATTAATTAATCCTGACACGTCACTCAATGGTCAATTCCCAAATGTATTGCTCTAACAATCTATCTCAAAAGCATTCTAGAAATCCCTTATGGAGGTTATCATTACCAATCTGATTTTTTCAGTTTATATATACATTTAAATGACCCTCCATCATTGCCATTGCTTTATAGGAAGCATTTTAATATTTTTTTCTGGTATACTTTTTCCTACGTCATAATTCCTGTTCACAGGTATGTAGATTCATTAGTTACTCGTTATTCCTCATCTCAACCCAGATTGATTCTACATCCTGATATCTTGAACTAAGGTCACCTCTAACAATTCCGCCAATACCATCTTTGATTCGGTGTTACCCCTTTGTACCCCTCAATATTGAGAATTCAGTCCTGAATATCCTGAAATTGTGTCTTTGTAATGACTATCAGATCATATGTATTCACTTCATTATGTGCTATCAATTCATTTACTTTGTTATGAGTGCTGCATGCATTCAAAGACAGAGCCTTTAGTTTTCTTTCTGTTATCTTTGTGACATCTCATCATTACTGTTGGTATATGCTTAGTTTTTTTTTAATCTCTGTCCCTTCCTACCATTCTCTGACCTTCATTTTCCATGTTAGTATTTTGCACTCCTACCTGGACTCCATCCCTTGATTTTTTAACATTGGCATTTTACATTTACACAAGCTTGATCTTCACCCACATTTTATAGTTTAAAGCCCTCTCTTTGTCCCATATTATTCAGCTTGCAACAACTCCATTCCTCACGCAATTCAAGTGTAGACCATCCCAACCATACAAATATGACTTCCCAGTACTAGTGGCCCACAAGAACCCACTTTTCCCACACTGGTCTTTGAGCCATGCTTTCACTTCTCAAATCTTATTCATCCTATGCCAGTTTCCATGCGGCAAAGGTAGCAATTCAAAGATTATTATTTCTCTGAGTTTCTGCTTTTAAATTTAACACATAACTTCTCATACTTCCTCAGCAGAACCTCTTTCGTAGTTTTATCCATGTCGTTGTAACACAGGGCCCACGATCACTGGTTCCTGTCATTCCATTGCAAACTCTTTCTCTATTCCATGGCACATTTCCCGAACCCTGGTACCAGGCAGATAGCATAGCTATCTGGACTCAATCGAATAATGATTTAAATTCTGTCCTGGCAGGGCCTTCCATCGTCCATAAATTTCAGCTCATTCAAAAATGACCCCTCACTCTGTCTTTGTTGATGTATAAACATCTTAGACTTAGTGTTACATAAGAAATAATAGAGTGATTGTCAGGTAGAATTGAAGAAACATGCAGTAGCAAGGTATCCAGTATTTTTATGTGAGGCATTAAATGCGATTACCCAAAAGTCTGGTCACCTATAGTTTTTCTTTCAAGATAAAATACTGTGCAGTTCATGAGGTGAAGTCCCTTTCTGCTTCAGCACCTTCTCCTCAAGTCTTTTCCTTTACTTCTATAGATAGTAAATAATTGTTGAGGAATAATTACTTGGGTGTTTGTAACCTTCTGGTATCTCACCCAAATGGTCATTTTTGATATGTAAATATAGGTAGTAAATTGTTGGTATTTTACTTTCCAACAGGGAGATTCTGGCTAAGTCTGATTGTGTATTCACCCACTGTCTCTATTTACGTTTTTCCACACAATTCATGCAGTAATTTTATGTTCTCTTGGTTTACTTTGTCACAGTCATATTGTACAATGCAAGGAACTTGGGTGGCACGGTAGCTTAGTGGTTAGCATTGCTACCTCGCAGACCCAGGGACCCGGGTTCAATTCCAGCCTTGGGCAACTGTCTGTGTGGAGTTTGCACATTCTCCCCATGACTGCGGGTGTTTCTGCTGGGTGCTCTGGTTTCCTCCCACAGGCCAAAGAAGAGCAGTTAGGTAGATTGGCCATGCTAAAATTGCTTATAGAGTCCAGGGATGTGTAGGTTAGGTGGATTAGCGGTGGGGTAGAGGCGTGAGTCTGGGTGGGATGCTCTTCGGAGTGTCGGTGTGGACTTGTTGGACCAAATGGCCTGTTTCCACACTGTGGGGATTCTACATACTGTCTTTAAAATGGGACAACATCTCAAGCTGCTTCATAGGAGCGTAATAAGAGAAATATTGACATAGTCAAACAGAATATATTAGGATGGGTGACTTAAAGCTTGATCAAAAAAAATAAATTTGCAAGTAGTGTAAGTTTTAGGGTTTTTGTCATTTACCTCCCGTCCTGTTAATTT